CTGATATACGTCTAAGATAGGACAGATTGATTCCCTCCTTCTGGTACCTACCCCACGAAATTTCAGGGTATTAAAAAACAAATAACTAATTGAAAAGTATCAATCGGTATTGTCGACAGATGTATTACCTCAGCCTATGTCCGTTTATTAAAATAATTTTTTTACCTGGTGTGGTTCCGAAGTAATGGACCAATATTGTACATTTCGTACCTGACCTAAGTCTGATATAAATAAATATCACAATATGCTAGAGTTGAACTATAACGACAACTTCGTTCTTCGCATTATAAGAGATATGCAAGAATTTTTGGAAAACAAGTTGAAATATATGCTAGGTAGCCGATACAATAGATCGAAAGATTCCATTTCAATCTAATACTGATAAAAATATTATTAAATTCGAATAATTTTAATCTTTTGTGGGAAAGCTACAAGAGTAGATTGAAAAATTTCATATTCACTTCAGACCTCTGTTGAGAGAAATATTTATATGTAATATGTTTCGGAAGTTATGAGAGATATAGGCATTGAAAATTGTGACCGTTTTTGGAGAAGACACCGGAAGGGTTGGGCCGATATCTATAATCTTGCGTTAGTAAAAATATTGGGATGAATGAAATTTGAAGGGAATCGGTTGCTTATTGAACATTTTACGCACGTTTTGTAATTCGTTCTTGATCATTTTGTGGCGAAGGTATTAGAAGGAGTAAACCGATATATCCCATTTTCCTTAAAGATCTTCTGCTTATAAAAATATTATGATGTGCAGAGTTTGAAAGAAAGCAGATACTTATTTCTCGTTTTGTGAGCTTCATGCATTGTTCAATATTTTGACCCGTTGTGGAAAAGTTCCAGAGTGAGTGGTATATATCAGATACCATCTTCACATCAGATCTTGTGTTCAGAAATATTGGGATGTGGCGAGTTTGAAAACAATGGGATTTTCGTTTCGCGTTTTATAAGCTTCGTGGTCATTCAAAATTTTATCCATCCAGAAGGAGTGAATGAATATCTACCATCTTCACACCAGATCTTGTGATGGTAGAAACATTGGGATGCGTGAATTTTGAGGAGAATTGAATGTTCATTTGGCCCCCTTTGCGGAGGGGGTACATAACGGAGCGACCGATATTGCTCATCTTCGCACGTGAATTAGCACTGATACATATATTGAGATTCGCAAGTTTTCTTCCCTGTTCTATACGGTAAATTATTTTCTATGAACATTTTGACCTTTTTGGGGAGATACCAGAAGGAGTGGACCGATATTACACACATCCGAACTCGATCTAAATTTAACAATAATACTACAATTTGCCAAGTTTGGATCAAATCGAGTACTCCCTTTAAGAGTTATCGTGCGCTCCAGCCAGCCAGACAGACGGACGGACATTGCTAGATCGAATGTCCTACGTTTTGGTCGTATTAAATGATATATACCCTCTGTAGTCATTTGACTGAGGGTATAAAAAAGGCCGAGCCAAACTTTTAATACATTCCAATATTTTGGAACAATAATGTTTAAATTATTAAAATAACGAAATACCGGTTGGAAGAGTTATATGGGGGCTATGCCAAGGCGTGGACCTGTGTAGCCAATTGCCAGAGACGGTTGTGTCTATTGTGAACTCTAAATAACAATTTTGAAATAATTCCGTGAAAAATCGACATAATACAGAATATCGGAAGATACCATTATATACGGTACATTTATGTAAGGGCCAAAAATTATAGGGACCTAACAGATATCTATGTTAAATCTATTTAATTTCGTCTGAATGGACGGGCATGGTAAAATTGACATAAAAAGAAATTAAGAATGAAAAACTTAATATATCCTCTATAGTATGGCGGAAGTTACATATAATTTATATTATTGCAATTGACCAGTTTTGAAACGAAATATATCTTTAAATATTTATATTTACAGAGGTAACAAGGAAGCCTTGACTTTTGCTCCATTTTTCACGTTTTTAATATTTTGGCAATTACCTTGTATTCATTGTACCATGGGCCATGATAACAATTAAAAAAAAAACATTAGGTTCGGCCGGGCCGAACTTAAAATATCCTCTACCATTAGCAAAAGGAAATATTTTAATATAAAAGTATCTGGATTTAAACGTGCTCCGCTTATAATTGAAAATACCAGTGAGATCGGTTGGAGAATACAGTTACGAACTAAGAATTTTAAGTTTTAGACCAATCCGATGTAAAATTTCAAAGCTCTACGTCAGGTGTTTCAAACTGAATGACATATTTATCATACCCTCCTTCCCATGGTGGAAGATGTAAAAATCATATAGCAGGTCCGGGCGATTTTTACTGTTTTAAAAATTTAATTTCTAGAACACATCCATATTTCTCACCTTTAGCTCGCAAAAAGTAGAAAACTTTTCTAAAAGATGTAGTTTAATTTATTTTTTAATTTGTCATTACGGAATCCGGGTAGAATTTTAATTAGAAACCTATTTAATCTGCATATCCGATTCAAATATTGGATTATTCAATCACACCTTCAACTTTTTCAAAACAGTACACATTGGGGGATATATTTTTCAATTTAAATCGGTGTAAAATCTCCACTGGAGTGGGGAGTGATTTGGGGTAAAGTCCTGAGTAATACTTCAAACAATAGAGATTACAATACTCATATTTAAAAAAAATTCGGCCTTTGACCACTGCAATCGTATGAGTTATAATAAGTTAAAAATAACATTTTACATAGAAAACTCGAATTCTTAAGGGAATCACAAAATATTACGCATATTAGACGAGTCGAAAATAATTTTTATTATCAATAAATTTTATTTTTGTTCTTATCTCTAAAAGTAAGGTGAAACTTCGATAAAGAAAATAATAGACAACTGAATGTCCAAATAGTTAACAGCTTTTGTTTTTTTTTATGAAAATGTGAAATACGTTGTTCCTGTGAATCACCTGGTTAGATCTCATTTGAGTCTTATCAGTGTAGGTACACACACACATTGATGATCGATTGTTGACATGTTTACCAAAAATCTAACATATTCAAAAGAGTTATTTGATTGCACTGTGGTCCCTCCCGTTTCAATAATTTAGCAAATACAAGCAACAATCTGTCATACTCTACTATTTCTTGAGTAAGTGAGAGATATATACTGAGTGGAGCCTTAGGTTATTACTTTAATAAGTCACAAGCAGAAAGACAAACTTTATAAAAACTTATTAAAAACAGTAAGTTCGGGCAAAATTTGATTGCCCTCAACAATTGGAAGAAATTTGAAAATTAAAAAAAAAAAAAACAAGTAAAAAACAATAAGTTCGGCCGAGCCAAACTTTTAATACCCTCTACCTTAGGGTAAAGGAAACTTTAGAGCCCATTATGACCCACATATACCAAGTTTTCATGGGAAAATGTGCCAAAAATCATCAAAATACCGAATATCGGGAGGTACCGAATCGTAGACCTAAACATGCAATGTTTCCCCAAAGAAGCTAGAACCCATTATGACCTACAAATACCAATTTTTAGACAAATCCGTGAAAAAAAATTGGCAAAAATCATTAAAATACCGAATATCTGGAGTTGCCGTTATATGGAGACAATACCAAAACGTGGACCTATAATTACAAATTTTGGCTATACCAAATCGTGGACCCGTATATGCAATGTTTCGCCACCGGAGCTGGAACCATTATGACCAACGAATGCCAATTTTTAGACAAATCCGTGAAAAAATGTGGCAAATATAATTAAAATATCGAATATCGGGAGGTACCTTTATATGGGGGCTATACCAAAGCGTGGACCTATACAAACCATTATGACCAACAAATGCCAATTTTTAGACAAATCCGTGAAAAAATGTGACAAATATAATTAAAATACCGAATATCGGGAGGTACCTTTATATGGGGGCTATACCAAAGCGTGGACCTATACATGCAATGTCTCGCCACATGAACTGGGATCCGTTATGACGTACAAATACCAATTTTCAGACAAATCCGTGAAAAATGTGGCATAAATCATGAAAATACCGAATATCGGGAGGTACTGTTATATGGGGACGGGCGGACAGACGGTCATCGTTAAATCGACTTAGAATATATATATATATATATATATATATATATATATATATATATATATATATATATATATATATATATATATATATATATATATATATATATATATATATATATATATATATATATATATATATATATATATATATATATATATATATATATATATATATATGGACTGATATGGGTCATTTGGCGCACAATTAACCCGAAGCCCGTTGAAGATATGGGAACTATATCCAAAGCTGAACCGATTATCACCAATTTCAATAGGGTTCGTCCTTGGGCCAAACAAATGTTGTTTGGAAAATTACATCTCAAACGGATAATAAATTCGACCTGCATTTTGTTCACAAGAATACATGGACAGACGGACTGACATGCATAAATCGACTTAGAATATGATTCTATGAAGATCCTCAAAAGTACCTATGGATCTATCTCGCTTTTTGATTTAAAAAAAGTCATAATCCCCATTATTGCAATGGAGATTATGTCCATGGGGACATGCATAACAAACCTTCTGTTGATAGAAGAGCTTCTTTAGATCCCATTTAATTTTCAAAACAGATATAGTAAAAAATATATTATTTTTAATATAATTAAAAACATAATATGAATACTTCATTTTTTCCAAATTTAACAAAATTCCAACTCGTACTTTGTCAAAACGAACCACTGTACCTAACCATTACAATATCTTCAACGTATGTGGCTTTAGACAATGGGGGGATTGTTTTCGCTTTTTTGGCGGTGTGTTATCAAAATCAGAGTAAGCCGTACATTATCAGCATTTTCGTTTAGAAACAATAAAATGATTTACCATACAGTTTATTTTGGATATTTTGAGGCAGCAGTTCTTCGGAAGTCCCATCATAAAAAGTTGCCGGGACGACAAATATTTTTCGCAGTTTTTCTTTAGCGATATGCCACCACCACCACCGCCCTATGGCTATGAAGATCCATATCGCCATCGCCATCATCATCACCATCATCGCCCAGGTATCGAAATTGATATTTTTCCCGGCTGGAATCGTCCATACTATCCTCCACCTCCCCCACCGCCTCCAAGAGCTGAGGTGGTAGTGGTCACACCGGCAGCCACCTATGTGCCGCCACAAGCTCCTGGCCAGTACTATAACAACGGTGCCTACTACAATAATGGATACAACAACGGATATAACAATGGATACAACAATGGCAACAACAACCCTCCCTATCCCCGATGGTAGCTACGAAGAGGGTTTATGGAATATTTAAAATTGCACAAATGTTAACATTTATATACTGAGAATTATTATTTTAAATTTAAATATGCAAAGTAAAAGAAAAACAAAACGAGAATTAACAAATCAATCAAAGTTTGTGAAAATGAAGGAATTATAGTGATTACATACATCCCCGAAGATTTTGATATGTTCAAACTTATTATACCTAAAATTAGATGGGAAGAAGAAGAAGAAGAAGTGCGTTGGCGAAACGACCTGCAGTGTTTTTTTTTATTTTAACTAATTATACATGTGTATAAAATTATCAAGGAGAAAGTAAAATGTGAAATATTTAAAGCATACCACCGTATTGGATAAAAGAGCTTTCGGTTTTACAAGGCAAGGTGTAAAACAAAAGAAATATTCATCAATATGAATCCATTGTTAAGCAAAAAGTCTTCTGAAAACATCTAGGTCCTTAGGTAATTGATACAAATCGTATGTAGGATTTCGGAATGCCAATTGTATCATCAAATTGGATATATAGTTTTTTTTAACAAAAAATGACAATATAGTCTCACAAAAAAACTATTTAATAGAACCTAATTATGCAGGAAAACCATATGTCACAAAATTAAAAATGTCATTATGTTGGTAGAAAGGAAGGATATTGAATACATAAAACGACTTCAAAAAAAAAAAAAAAAAAAAAAAAAAAAATTTGAAAACTTTGGTCATTGTGGACAGAGAAATGCGAAAGTGGTTGCAATTTGGAAAAAATATATTGACACATTTTCTAAAAACGTAACCGTAGGGTTAGTGACTAAAGTTGTGCGGAACGTTTGAAATTAGTAAATATTATATTCGAGTTAAATTGTTAACATAATTACAATGTTTACTTGGAACGTAAAATACTACCTGCAATCTCTAGATTTTAAATTCAAAATTTGATTTTTTAATAATTACATTTAAAATAAATCTGATTATGAAAGAAGAATTAAAACAAGTAAGCAAAGGCTATAGTCATGGGGCGCCGACCATGTTATACCCTACAACACTACAATTGGTTCGAAGTCCCCTTATATCCAAATCCATTTTGGAAGGTTTCGTTTTTGAAATATTGTAAAAAATAATGCCCCTGTCCTTAACTCCCTTCTGATTCGATTAGTTTTCAATTGTGGTCTATAGAGCGACTACAAAATTAGAAAATTTTTAATTTTAAAACATCTTAAGAGCAATAGGCTTTAATTCTGACCCTAACCATACCGCCATACAAAATTTCGTGAGGATCGAACGATTATTGCGACATGCATATTGTTTGCGTAGAAAAATAAAAGCACAAATGATTAATATTTTTCCAACTAGAGTAGTGGACTGTATATTTTTATAGGGTGGCTGTTTGTGGAACAATATTACCTTCGTAAAAAGGGTTTTTAGCAGTAGGACGTAATCCTATGCTTGTTAGTACTCGTAGAGTCGGTAGAATACTGTAAAGGCGGCAATTACAAACGTCACTCCTTAGGAAATGTCATTACCTTTGACATTATGTACGAAGTACAAAGTCGTATTAAGAGGTAGTAGACATTACCTAAGGTGGAGAAAAATCACCCGTGTTACAAATATGTAATATCAACGCAATTTAATGAAAATTAAGTTTGAAATTAAACACATATAATATCCTCAAAACGTAGTGTTGCAGAGTGTAAAAATTTAAAAAAATTACAATTCAAAATTGGAAGTCAAATTGAAAAAAATCGCATGCGATAAAAAATATGACAAAAATTGAAAAAAAATGGAACAAAAGATATAAACTTTTTTATTGCTATATTTTTCCGCGATAGATTAGATTTTATTTAGATAGATTTTATCCATTTCTGTCAAGAGACCATTCCGAATAGATGGGAATTGTGAAAATTGGCCCAGCGGTTCTTGATTATAAGCAGAATACATAAAATCTATTTGGCTATATATCCAATTTCTTGGCTATCAGCATCACTTAATGGTGATAAACGGATCAGATTTAGATTTAGCTTCCATATATCTTCAACCGACTACGGGTTAGTTGTGCACCAAATAGGTAGCATAAGTCCAAATGACCTGTATTTTGGTACATCCCACCGACTTCAGTCTAGAAGCAAGTAAATCAAATTTGGAGAAAATCGGTTTAAATATAGCTTTAGCTTTCTCAAATTTTATCGAGAACGGCTAAGATTAGGAAATAGCTACCATATATATAAATATGTATATATCCTTAATCCGATTTCAGGTTTATTGTGCAAATAATGGCTAATATCAGCCCAAATGGACTGAATTTCGAGACGTATGTTTACATTTTGTGCAACTCGGCTCCGATATATATTTTTTTAATATTAAAATAATTTTTTAATATTTTTTTAATATTAAATAAAATTTATTTGACGTAGAGCTTCAAAATTTGGCAGAACAATTTGTATTGCGTCGGAGACGGCTGGTATTGAAAATTAGGTTCACGTTTTGGTGTAGCCGCTCGATATTCGATATTTTGATGATTTTTGCCACATTTTCCCACGGATTTGTCTAAAAATTGGTATTTGTAGGTCATAGTGGGCTCTAGCTGCGGTGGCGGAGCATAATATGTATAGGTCCATATAATCTAAATAGTTTAAATAATCCAAATGTGGTATTTAAGATTGTTATACCGTTTTGTTATGGCCCAAAAAACGGCCCGCTCACTTAATTATTTTTTTGAAAAGTTTAAAAGCATTATCGAAACGATCTTACTGGTATTTGTAGTTTAAAGTGGAACATGTTTGAATCCAAATACTTTCATTCAAACATATTTTTTTTGCTAATGGTGGAGATTATTTAAAGTTTAGCCCGGCCGCAATTAATGTTTTTTTACTTTTTTACATTTCAAACTACCTTAGGCAACCCAAAGCATAGAATGTGGAATTATTTTATGTTTATGAATTTGGAAAAACTTGAACTACTCGTTGCAGTATAGTCAGTTCGACCATTAAATGACACCAAACGTTAGTATTTTATCATTTTTACTACTGCAGTAAAAAACGATTAGAGTTCTCACTTTTTTAGCATTTTATCGCAGTATACTGTTAAAAAAGGTTGAGTTTTACTACCTATGGCATTCCTTGGCACTCTTAAAATTTTCTGCATAATACTGGAAGAAGTGTATAGATTACGAAAAAATTGATTTTAGGTACATCTGTTTCAGATGCTGCAAATGCGGAGGTACCTTCATATGGGAGATATACCAAAGAGTGAACATTTTTGGCAAGAAGATATATTTTGTATTTATTTATTTAATGAAAATCTGTTGAACATTTTTGCCAACATATTGAAAAATCCCTCAAATAGAGATAGGGTTCTATGGGATCTTCATCAAAACATGTTCCATGTTCATAATTTTTCGCACATCAATTTGCTACCCTATCTTAAACAAAAATGTTAAATTTTAGCAAAATCGATTGAAAACATATGGTAACAATAATAATGAATAATGTAGCTAAAATCATCAAAACCGTATACAGGGAGATACCGTTATATGGGGCCTATACGAAGACATGGACCTGCACACACAATTTTCTGTCGTAGGCTGTAGTATCAATTTCGAAATTCGAATACCAAATTTGACATAATTCCGGTGAATAATATCGCTAAAATCGTCAAAACCGAATATCGGGAGGTACTGTTATATGGAGGCTATATGAAAACGTGGACCTACATGGCCCATTTATGAACTTAACCTGCCTAATGACAAAATAAATGTGTGCTAAATTTTTGCCTTCTATCTCAATTCGTTTGAAAATAGCGTGATAACAACAGACAGACAGACACACAGACGGACATGGCTAAATCGTCTTAGAATTTTACGCCGATCAAGAATATATATATACTTGATGGGTCTGACATAAGTATTTCGATGAGTTACAAAGGGAATGGCAAAATAATATACCCTCCATATTATGGTGGAGGGTATAAAAATACTTCAAAGAAAGAAAATCAGGGGTAGGATTGTATGGGAGCTATATCGACTTATATTAATATTATTTTGCAAGGACATTAGTTAACCATTAAGAATACCAGATGTCAATTGTCAGTCCATTTCAATTAAAAATGTGCCTATAACCTTCATATTCCTTCAAATCGGAGGGTACCGTTACTTGGGAACTATGCCTAAACAATAACAAATCTTCATTGCATTATTTTTTAAGCATTATGGAGCTACCCTAAAATCAGATCGATTATGGAAACATTTTTGTCGCACCTTCCCTTATATGTTGGACAACCAATGTTAATATTTGGCACATGATATGAAATATAGTCCAGAAATAAATATTCTTATTTTTTCAGTTTCCCCTTATTTTATGTAAATTATATAATAATACGAATATATTAATTTCTTCGATTTCGATGTTTAATTGCACACAAGCCTTAATACACATTAAATGACGATCATAATTGATATGATTTGATTAACGTTTACGGTATTATATAGTGAGAGCGCCCAACTTTTGTCCTCTTTTTACTGTTAGTACTTACAATTTCCATGCTAATTTTTGAAACAATTTAGGGTTTCATGTTTGTAAATCAGCGAATTTTTCCGGTATGGTCCTTTTTTAGCACTTTGAAAGTTTTTTTTTTTAACATTGGGCACTTAAAATTCGTAAAGTTCGCCTCTCAATATAGATTCCACATTATTTCATGTACGAGAAACAAGTTTCAAAATTTTCTGACACAATTTCCAACCCAATTAGCTGTAATTCGACATCTGGGTCTTTGCATTCGACATCTGGGTCCAGCAAAAAAACAGTTTGCTAATAAGTATTAATCGTTTTGGGTTCTAAGTCGACAGAAACTGTTTCTATGTATGTCCATATTTTGCATAGCTTCCTTCAGCTGAAATAGCTGTAAGTCGCTTTTAAAACATTTACAGGGTTGCCCATATACGACGGGCCCATTCCAATCGACGAGGCTTGTCGGCAGGCAACATTCTTTGCATCAATTGAATTTTGTACGGGAACAAATGCAAATCAATGCGAATAATCCGTTGTAAAGTGGACCGAGCCATGCCCAACTGTTGAGAACGGCGTTTTTGGGATGTTCTTGGGGACCTCTCAACACTGGCTCGTACGGCAGCGATATTCTCGGCCGATCGCCTTGGTCGACTTTTATATGGCCTCTTCGGATTAGAAAGAGCCTTACCAGTCGAAAATTTTTCGTATAAACGCTTAATGGTGTTCTTAGAAGGCGCACTTCTCACATTTTTTAATGTTTTAAAAGCACGCTGAGTTTTCACAATTGACTTCTTCTGTTGAATGTAAATTTCAGAGCGCTCGCGTGGCGTGTATTGGTTCAAGCTAAAAATCTGCTTGGACTGACGCTTCAAACGCGGTATGTCATTAAGCGATGTGACATCTCTGTCAAAAGTTATGGCGTTGCCAGTTGGGTCCGTCGAATATGGGCAACCCTGTATATGTGTTTACTTCGGAGAAGCCCACCTATAATCAGGAAGCGTCATATTGTTGACTAGTTGTATGAAAATTAAATCTCGTAACTCGAATTATGAAAGAAGATTCAAACTTAATTTGGAATATACTAAGAAATTTATTAAGATAAATATTTTTTGTATCATAAAAGTGTTCAAAAGTGTAAGTTTGCGAATTAATATTAATAATCTATATATATATATATATATATATATATATATATATATATATATATATAAAAGAAAGTTGTGTTAGTTACTACGCTTATAACTTAAGAACCGCTGGACAGATTCTAACGATTCATACAAATTCGGAATTGTCTCCTGTCCGAAAAGGATAATATACAAAAAAATCGCGTAAAAATGTGATATATTAACATTTTCATTTTGACTTTTGAAATGTACAATAGTAATGTTTTATTTTGCATGATTTTTTCCATTTTGACTTACTTTTTTCTAATGTACATTTGTAGTGTTTTTTGTATTTTATTTTTGAATTCGAATATTAATACCAATTTATTTAATTGACTTGATTTCTTGAGAACTGAAATTGATGGCGGGTTACATGGAAGTGTAGTACCGAATTATGTGGTGGCGTAACGGAATAGACGATATCGAAATAATTTAACGCGGTCACGCCAAAGTTAAAAGATAAATTATTTTTCAAAATCGCTAAAAAATCAAGAAAAAGAGATCTTATTGCAAAAACTCTCAAATCGGGAACAAATCGAAAAAAAATTTCTATGGAATCGAATTTTAAAATAATAGTACATTCTATTGACAAACTTAAGGAGGATCTTTAAACATTTGCTGTAAAAAATCAGAAAACAAGTTGAAGATTTTTTCAATTTGTTATTCTTCTTTTGTCAATTTTTTTCAATTTGTATTATCATATTGAATTCAGTGGATTTTTTGTGGACAAAATAATGATTTCTATCCTTCCAGAAATTCTTCCCAAACATTCAAGATAACTTAAATCGCTTTTGCAGGTCATGATATCGATCATAACTCACGGATAAGGGTACAAACAGGGTATTTATATATCCATCGTATGATTTAAGCTATTTTTGGGGTCATGCCCACTTTTTTCATTTTTGGCCTTATTTGGCAAAATTTGAAATTTTCAGAGTAGGGCCCATATTGGTCTTGACCACATTTATCAATTGATTTGGCTAAAAAATTGTATATACGCTACCCTGGTGTACGGAACCATCATACTGATAATTGTCACCTAGGAATTTATTTAAGTAAAGCCCCCACATTGGAGTATCCCCAAGTCCACTTTCACATCTAATGTGTGTTCAGAAAAGAAAATTTTGTATTCTATTGAATTTGTAACCCCCAAGAGAATATTGGTTGAGAACATAGATTTGGGATGCACATCTATATGAAATAAATTATGAAAACATGGACAAATTACAAATATAAGAAAGTAGCACGGGATAGAATATTTGTTGAATCGTCGTTGAATTATACTATGATAAAAATATGGACTTACAACTTACAATTTACAACCAACTTACAATTTAAATGGCAAATGAAATAAATTCCCATGGGTGTAAAATTGCTATATTTTTGATTTGGTCTCTGTTTGTCATATTGGATTATAAGCGGTAGAAGAAAGTTTTCAATGTAGGTCGATATTTCGGAGTAGTGCCCATGTAAAGGTACCTCCTGATTTTACCATATTTCAAAAGATTTGGCTAAAAATGTATATTTGGGTGGAATCTTACACAAAAATTGCAACATATCTACAAATTTTAGAATTTTCTCCATGTAATAGTACCCCCTCAAGTCCACGGCTTAAATATGGGTATAGGTATTTTAAAACACTTTTAATCGAGCAGTACGTGAACAGATATCAGTCATATCTGTGAATAATTATACTTTGACAAATATGCCTAATAGACAAAAACTACAGGCCGGCAACGCGGACCGGGCCAGCTAGTATATATATATAAAAGAAAGTTGTATTAGTTACTACGCGTATAACTCAAGATCCGCTGATCTGATTTTAATGATTCAGACAAATTCGGAATTGTATCTTGACGGAAAAGGATAAAATCTAAAAAAAATCTCGTAAAAATGAAAGATTTCAAATTTTTTATTTTGAATTTTGAAATGTACAATAGTAATGTTTTATTTTTCATAATTTTTTCCATTTTGACTTACTATTTTCGAATGTACATTTGTAGTGTTTTTTCTTTTTTAATTCTAATATGATGTTTAGTCTTTTTGGGGACTATAAAGCGAAGACAATTATGGGATGGCGAACCTGAATTGTTGATGCCAAAATAATTTACCGCGGTCAAACCAAAGTTAAAGGATAATTAAAAAAAAAACATATCGCATTGAAAAAATTCAAATATCGGGAAAAAATAGAAAACATATTTTCAAAGGAATCGTAAGGACCAAACTTCGGAAGGACCTTCAAACATTTCCTGTAAAAAACCGGTTTGACGGATTTTGACAATTCATACAATTTCGGAATGGTGTCTTGGCAAAGAAAAAAATGCGTAAAAATAATCCAATAAAAATATGAATAAAAAAATATTTTTGGCATGAAATGTTTTCAGTTTAGCAAACTTTATTAAAGTGCAGTTTTTTTATTGTTTTGAATTCTGAATAAATAATATCAAAAATGAAATAGTGCGCAATACCATGTTAAATGGTGATTTTTCATGTCTAAGATTGGCATTTAGCTTTCAACTCCAGGACTTAAATCGTGCTTCAGCTGGAAGATGCGAACACATTTAAACTAACAAAAATGACCGACAAAGCTTAATGGGGCTCATTTTAAAACGTGGACCTACTTCATTCATATGACAATAATTCGTCCAATGAGAGCTCAAAATGCAAAATTCTTTAGGACTGCAATCAGTAAAATACCGAATATAAAGTAGAACGAATTTGACATTTAATAAGAGAAGGATTTCTATCCATCCAGAAATTCTTCCCAGACATCAAAAATATTTTAAATCGCTTTTGCAAGTCATGATATGGGTCATAGCCCCCGGGTAAGAGTACATCAATTAAATTGACGTGTAGTTTTTTTACTGTTAGCCTAATACAATTTCACAGGCGTTGTTGGTCAATACTTCTTAATAAAATCATATCTCAATCTGAAACGAGTTCAATACAATTTGACACAATTTACTTTTACACAAAATTCCGTCCGCCGATTTTTAATTTATTTTACAAACTTATTATTGTAGTCAAATTCCGCCACACACCCTGAATTTCATTGGAATCGGACATATATATATCGTGTTTGGTACATAACATAAATGAGATCTTTGGAAAAATATATATGGTAGACATACCCAAACCTAAACCGATTTCAATATAATTTGGCAATTTTTTTTTGTACCAACTTTAGTCACTCATGCCGAATTTCCTTAGAATCGGACATTCTTGTCGTGTTTGGTGAATCAAATATGTGAAATCGGTCGAAAGTATATATGGGAACTATATTCAAATGTGAACCGATTTCAATATAATTTGACAAATTTATTTTCTGATCAAATCCTGTCACACATTTCAAATTTCATTGGAATCGAACATACTTATCGTTGTTGGGGCATCAAATGAACGAAATCGGTCGAAAATATGTATGGGAGCTATATCCAAATCTGAACCGATTTCAATATAATAAACATACAAACATTTTCCTCTTTTATAGATATAGATATAGTGGGAGCGCCCAACTTTTGTCCTCTTCTTATTGGTCAGTATTTTAAATTTTCAGGCTAAATTTGAAAACAATTTAGGGTTCTACGTTTATAAATCAGCGACATTTTCTAGTACGGTTCTTCTTTTGCCATTTTGAAAGTATTTTTGTTGTTTTGCCATACGTTTAACATTGGGTATTTAAAATTTCCATAGTTCGCCTGTCAAGATAAATTCCACATTATTTTATGTACTAGAAGCAACTTCGTAGGCCATGTTTACCCATGGCTTCCAAGTTTCAACATTTTCTAACACAATTTCCAACCCAATTGGCTGTAAAACTTGCAAAAACAGTTACTAAAAAGTATAAATTGTTTTGTGTTCTAAGTCGACAGAAATTGCTTCTAAGTTTCCTTATGCTTTTGTATAGCTTCCCTCAGCGATGCTGTTCGATTTTAGACTCTAGTTACTTTTTCAGCGGAAATGTCTGTGTTTATGTGTTTATTTCGGAGAAGACCACATATAATCAGGAAGCGTCATATTTTTGACTGTTTGAATAATATTAAAAAGTAACGGTACAGAAAATTAAAACTCGTATCACAAATTACGAAAAAAGATACAAACTTAATTTGGAATATAGTAAGAAATTTATTACAATAAATATTTTTCTTTGTATCATAAAAGTGTTCAAAAGTGTAAGTTTGCGAATTAATATTAATAGTGTTTAAATAAATGATTTTATCACACACAAATTATGTGGGTATTTTCCAGGAAAATATTACCAGCGTGGAGAATTATCCCAGTGCTCGCGGGGTGGAGGTGGACGGTTTTCAACAATGACGATTTCTCTTTGTGGAGGAGGGGCGTACTGTTGGGGTGGTACATAAACCTCTGTTGTCACACGCTGTGGTGGTGGTGGTCCATAGGGCCTAGACATGGGATTCACTATATCAACTTCAACAACAGGACGAGGCGGTGGAACATAAGGCCTAGGATTCACTATGTCTACTTCTACAACAGGACGAGGCGGTGGCACATAGGGCCTAGACATAGGATTTACAATATCCACTTCAATGATGGGCCGATTATGATGATGATGATGGTGATGGCGTTCTTCTTCCCAGTGCGGTGCCATTTTAAAAATTTATTTACTTCCGATTTACTTCAACAATAAATTCAATTCGATCAATTACGGTTTGTTGATACCGAAGTCACAATGAGAACTGTGGCTTTTTGTAAAAATCTTTCGAATTTAAGTAAATGAATAATTACTCATGACACGGTTCTTTTTTCCTTTTATCAAATCAATGTTTCATATTTTAATGCAAAGAGGCTTAATTACTTATCGTAAAGTTATCATGACACTTGTTTCTGGCTACCGTTCACCAAAAAGCGAAATAGATAAAAAAAAGTTTATCGTGTGGTGGTGGCCAAGTAGTTTTGATAAGGAAAACAATAAAATAGAATGTCGATATTGTTTGTTGTCGCAGCACAAATTGTAAACAAATTACGGCATCAATATTCTACTCTGTTTTTTATAGTTAACTGGGTTAAATTTGAAAACAAAAAACGTTACTCCGAACAATTGTGAATTTTCTGATGATAATATTTTGCTGAGGAAAATTTTATCTACTTCAACAACAAATGCGGTTGGAGGGTAATCAATTCTGTGTTGTCTTGTGACGCTTACGATGAACACAGAGCTATGTGTTTAGAAGAGTAGTATGTCGGTTAAGTGACTGACTCATTAACGTCCGGACGAAACAGCTACGCAGTAACAATTTGCAAGCCGCTTTCAGAATTACAAAGTAATGACAACAATGTGCTTAACTTTATTACCACACTTGCTCCTTCCACTGCATAATGAGTAACAACAGCGTTTGGGTAAGATATCTTTATCCGAACACTTGGGTCGCAAACCACAAATATCTAAGGAAATATATAACACCTACTCTTCTAAATATATATCGAATCCTTTGTTTAAACCAGGCTTGCTCCTCCCACTACATAATTAGTAACAACAGCGTTTGGTTAAGATATATTTACCCAGGGTCGAACACTTGGGTCGGCAAACCACCAATATTTAAGGAAATATGTAACACCTACTCTTCTAAATATATATCGAATCCTTTGTTTAAACTTATGTATTTATCTAGTTACGGGATCGGCATATATATGTTTTATAATTTGAGAAAAGAAAAAGTAAAAAGAACATTAAGTTCGACCGGGCCGAACTTTTAATACCCTCCAACATTGGGTAAGGAAAAAAAAAGAAGCCATACCAAAAAGGGTGCCCATTTAGACAACTTTATACTAGAAGAATTGTTATCAAGTTATTACAAGTCTTAAATTCCAAATTTGAAAAAATTCCGTGGGTAAATCTGACAAGGATTATCAAAATATCGGGAGGTAATGTTATATGGGGGCTATACGAAAACGTGGATCTAAACATGCAATATTCGCCAGTGAAACTATAACCAATAATGTGTGGAAAAATGTTCCGAAAATCATCAAAATACCGAATATTGGAAGATACCGTTATATGACGGCTATACCAAAACGTTGACCGATATATCTCATTTTCAATACCAACTATCCTAGACACAATATATATTATACTGCTAATTGTTAAAGCTCTACGTCAAATAATGTGGGCTGTATCGTGATTTCAACAGACAGACGGACGGACATTGTTTAATCGACTTAGAATTTTATGGTCATGGTCATGAATATATAAGTATATATGAGGCTATAGTCAAATCGGAACCGATCACGACAAATTTTGACAGTGGTATTTCTGAGCTGCATCTTTTAATGTAATAATTTCATCGAAACATACAACCGCACCCATTGCATCTGTAGTAACAACAGCCATAGCGAGACTACATGAGCATGCCACGATAATAGCCTGAACCAAACGCCCCAGTATTCGGTGGCGTAATGGACATCTCATTTTTCGGCTGCATGCCGTTTACCGGATAAGGCGAATAATTCTCTATGATTTGGTAAGGCCGGTCAGTTATAGACAGGCATACTGATGCAGGGGGCTTGCCCAAGGGTAGTTAGTGATTTTCTGACTAACAAAATCGTTATCTGGGAATACCTTTTCCAAGACTGACTCTCATTGACACTGACACTTCGGCTCGCTATTCTGTATAATAGTCAAACATTGGTCGTGGAGTTAAGGTTTTTATAAACTGAAATCCTAGTTAGAATAATCATTGTAGAAGACCCAGTCGAGTTTCAATCCAACTATCGAGCCCGAGCGAGTTCATATTCAACTGCGAAGGCCTATGCAGCGGGCCCCGGGCATATCCATAGTTAGCTGACGAATCCGAACGAGTTCCGGACCATTTGCTTACACATCGGCTGCCGAACCTACATTCAATAAGCTGTCAAGCCCGAGCGAATCTCAATCCGTCTACGAATACCTGGGTGGATGATATAGAGTATCTCAACAGTGAACTGCTAACGATAATACAAATTAAGTCCAGAATGCGTCTCTGAAGGCCTGGACATCAACATCCCAAGTACCTACATCGTAAACCCTAATTGTTCATCGCTTGTCGGCTCGATGACCAGTCATCTCTAAATCTAACTCTAAATCGGTAACATACCGACGTGATCCGAACGTGATCGTGAGATACCCGATTACAAACAAGTCGACCACTGACGACCATTAGTTCCCGATTATCTTCAAATCGTCAAAACCACTACATCGTAACTCCCGATTTAATTCAACCCTTCGACACCTGACGACCATAAGTTCCCGATCCCAGCATCACCCGAACATAGACATCGTAATGCCTGATATCCCGCACCAATCAACATCGGGCAATTATCCACAAGTTCTCGATTACCTTCAAACCGTCAACATTTCCGAACGATAGGGTCAACGGATCACAAACTTCGTAGTTCCTGATTAAGCAATCAAGGAAACCAACAAACAATAATAAAAAAAGTTCTTTCAAATCTTATTTTAGTTTGCTTTATTCCCAACCAACAAAAAGAATAACAGAAATAAATTCTACCAATATGGGGTTTGTTCACGATCGATCAATTGAATAGGTCATATTTAAACTCTTAACCAGTAAAGAAAAGTCAAAAGTGTAGGGTATCATATAGTCGGCCCGCCTGACTATATGACCACAATGCTTATTTAGTAAAGCTCCCGTAACGAAAGAATTTATTTGAAGTGGATCATACCACCTATCAACTTTAGGCTTTAGAGCAGCTATAATTTGGTTCCAGAGGGAATGATTCTGAATCGATATTCACTAAATTTGACGGAGACATTTTAATCTTTTATACCAAATAACATTGCTATAGATTGCATGATATCACTTCGAGAAGGTCTATATTAAAACATGTAAAAAACTGTAAGTTCGGCCGTGCCGAACTTTGAATACCACCATTTGGCAAATTTTCAAAAAAAAAAAAAAAAAAAAAAAATAAATAAAATAAAATCCGTTAAACATTCTGTTAAAATCTTTAAACTACCGAATGCCACCATTATATTAGGGTCTATACGACGACGTGGAACTGTATAGGCAACTTTTAACATAAGCCATTACAATATTCAATTTCGAAACTTGAATGGGGCAATACGAAGGCGTGAACCTGCACAGACAATTTTCTTTTATAGGCTGTAGTATCCATTGCGAACTTCAAATACCAAATTTGAAACAATTCCGGTGAACAAATTTCAAATACCAAATCTGAAACAATTCCCGTGAATAATGTCGCTAAAGTCATCAAAATACCGAATATAGGAAGGAACCATTATAAGGGGGATATTCCAAAACGTGGACCTACATGGCCCATTTTCAATACCTGCAGGTATAATATGCATTTGTGTAAAATTTTATAAACCAACTTCATTTTGTTTGGAAGCTAGAGTGATTTCCACAGAGGGTCAGACGGATAGACGGGCGTACATCGTTAAATCGATATAGAATTTTATGCTGATCAAGAATATATTAACATTGTGGGGTCTAAAATGCATATTTCGAGATGTTACAAACGGAATGCCAATCTTAATATACCCTCGGTACTATGGTGGAGGGTATAAAAATATGTATCGGAACCGAGTACCACAGAATGGAAACATATGTACGTCCCGAAATTCACTCCATTTGGACTGACATAAGCCACATAATGGCGCAATAAACCTGAAATCAGATTAAGGATATATATGGGAGCTATATTCAAATCTTAGCCGATCTCGATAAAATTTCGCAAATGTATTTCCGAGCTCTATAAGCTATTTGGTACCAAATATTATTGTTGTCGAGTGTATCTTACGAATGTGGGAACCTAAGCACCAAATCGGAAAAAAAATATAAATATGGGAGATATAGCTATATATGAATGGATTTTTATACCCTACACCACAAGGTGGTCAGGCTATTATGTCTTCGTGCATTTGTTTGTAACAGGTAAAAGGAAACGAGATAGACCCATAGTTCTTTTTGATGATCTGCATAGAATCACATTCTGAGTCGATTTATGCATGTCCGTCCGTCCGTCTGTCCATGTATTTTTGTAAACAAAGTACAGGTCGCATTTATTGCCCGATCCAGATGAAAATTTGCACAGATCATTTGCTTGGCCCAAGGACGAACCCTATTGAAATTGGAGATAATCGGTCAAAACTTAGATATAGCTCCCATATATATCTTCGCCCGATTTGCCTTTTATTGTGTACCAAACGTGTAATATCAGCCCGAATAGTATGGAATTTTGCCAAATTAGGCCTAAAAATAAGTATGCCAAATTTGATCAAAATCGGTTCAGATATAGCTATAGCTCCCATATATATTGTTCATCTGATTTGTTATTTTTGCCCTTCGCAGCCGTAATATGTATTGGGGAATATATCAAATACAGGTCAGAAATATCTTTGCCAAATTATATCGAGATCGGTTCAGACTTGGATGTAGCTCCCATATACAGGGTTGTCCATATTCGACGGACCCATCTGTCAACGCCATAACTTTTGACAGAGATGTCACATCGCTTAATGACATACCGCGTTTGAAGCGTCAATCCAAGCAGATTTTTACCATGAACCAATAAACGCCACGCGAGCGCTCTGAAATAGTTGAAATTTACATTCAACAGAAGAAGTCAATTGTGAAAAAAATGTAAGAAGTGCGCCTTCTAAGAACACCATTAAGCGTTTATACGAAAAATTTTCGACTGGTAAGGCTCTTTCTAATCCGAAGAG